GTTAAAATATTTCCTTTGAGTTGTGGCATTTGTAGGCCTTTACTTGAACTACTTGTGGAAACAGTACAACCCTGGTTGATATTAATTGGCTAAGATAATGGAAAATGTTTGTTCTGCACTCCGAAATATTAAAAACGGATATCCAAGTATGGATACCAATCTGTCAAGACAAATATTGTTTTGTTAACGTCAAACATTTTCTACTTGTAGAAACAGTTCAACCCTGGTTGATATTAATTGGTTGAAATAATGGAAAATGTTTGTTCTGCACGCCGAGATATTAAAAACGGATATCCGAGTATAGAGCTGTCAAGATAGATATTGTTTTGTTAACGTCACACTATTTTTAAACGTAAACCATGAAATTTCGAACAATATAATGAGTACAAATCTGCTGTATTTAGAGAGTTCAAATTCATTCGTATGAATAGAATATATTATTAAACAAACACATGTGTATATACATACACAAACATATTAAGGGATTGTATGTCGCCGCCACTCCAATATAAATGTCTTTCATCGGCACGTGTAGGTTTATCAAGTAGTACAATAGATATTTTCAAAGCTAAAATAAACAGAAATGAGACAGCGCTCTGATATATATCAAAGTATGACGTTTAAAATGGTATTTTGCAAACTCTTCAACAACAGCGTGTTAACGGTATCGACATGGCGGAAAACGGTTTGCTATACAGATTTCGAACACAGATTATATGTACGTTACGACAAATCACTGTATTGTTATCTGTACTTAAAGAAAGTGTGAATATGTATTTTACGGAGCTATCATAAATATTCCCGAAATATTACGACGACCTCTAAAACGCATGGGCTTCACACAAAGCCACCATGTGGGAATCGGAGCTTGTTTTTCAGTGTTAGGGACTGTAGAGTGCGTATGCGGCGGGTGTGTGTGTGTGGATGCTTCATTGGGAAATGGGTTGGGATCTAATGAGGATGTCGACTATATATGCTTTTAAAGAGCTCCAGATAGTCATTGTATTCGCGTAACCTACGCAAACTATCAGCATTACCCAATTTGGAGTTGCTTGAAACATGAAACATTTCCAAACCCATCAGTACAACAATACTGTGAGTAATAACCCTTTAGTAACGCTTGTGTGCCTGTTTTCCTTCACTTGTCTTTATTTTCTAATGGATTGCAGGCCTGGCATATTATTTCAGTGAACTCTTCTGCAGTGAATAACTTTCTTCTGTAAGATTGTTTTTGGAGAATTATTTTAACCATTTGGTTATTAATGGTTTACAAATACCCAAAAGACTTGCCCCGCGGGATTAACAATACAATAAATACCCAAAGAAAACAATAAAATATCCAATAGACTGGACCCAGGCTATTTTATGGAATGCTCACAGAAACTTCCGTATCGAATATGAAAGATAATATGCGAGTATGTACTCAATGATAATATGCGAGTATGTACTCAAAGATAATATGCGAGTATGTACTCAAAGATAATATGCGAGTATGTACTCAATGATAATATGTGAGTATGAACACAATGATAATATGCGAGTAGGTACTCAATGTAAATTTGCGAGTATGTACTCAATGATAATATGCGAGTATGTACTGAATGATAATATGCGAGTATGTACACAATAATAATATGCGAGTATGTACACAATGATAATATGCGAGTATGTACTCAAAGACAATATGCGAGTATGTACTCAATGATAATATGCGAGTATGTACTCAATGATAATATGCGAGTATGCACACAATGATAATATGCGAGTATGCACACAATGATAATATGCGAGTATGTACACAATGATAATATGCGAGTATGTACTCAATGATAATATGCGAGTATGTACTGAATGATAATATGCGAGTATGTACACAATAATAATATGCGAGTATGTACACAATGATAATATGCGAGTATGTACACAATGATAATATGCGAGTATGTACACAATGATAACATGCGAGTATGTCCTCAATAATAATATGCGAGTATGTACACAATGATAATATGCGAGTATGTACACAATAATAATATGCGAGTATATACACAACGATAATATGCGAGTATGTACACAATGATAATATGCGAGTATGTACTCAATGATAATATGCGAGTATGTACTCAATAATAATATGCGAGTATGTACACAATGATATTATGCGAGTATGTACTCAATGATGATATGCGAGTATGTACTCAATGATAATATGCGAGTATGCACACAAAGATAATATGCGAGTATGTACACAATGATAATATGCGAGTATGCACACAATGATAATATGCGAGTATTTACTCAGTGAGTTAAAAACATATCTGGAAGCATGCTGCACTCGCATGGGGGGAAGAGATGGAGCTGGAGCACATATGTAATTAATTTATACATAAAATAATAATCGAATACTAGTACCTCGAATATCAATAGTCCACCCTGATTGTGCGGGCTCACTTAAATCCTGGGTGTAATGGCTTTATTCTTTTGTCACGACGCTCGAAGGGGGTTGAAGTAGCGTAAAATTATTGTCCTCCAGAGAGGGTATCATAAGCCCAAATCATTGAGTTTGTTATTCCTACCGTATTTTTTAATCGTAGAATATTTATAAATATTAATTAGTGGCTAAAATTGACTACAATCACCAGCAGCTGAAGCGATGGTGTAAATCCTGCTGGGGAACCGTGTAGGTAGCAGAAGTATCGTGAGTCCCCACGGTCCCTAGTATGGTTGCTGGTGATCTATAGCCCGTTTTTATAATGTGTTGTTGAATCAAAGGTTATTCTTTTAATTGTTCACGAAACAGGTTTTACTTCTAAACTGTGATAGTCTAGTTATTATACTGTCCGTCGATGACAGGTTTTTATTCATCTAAATTTAAGAATTATTAATGTTCTCGTCACGATATGGCTGAAATACTGCCGATGTGACGTTAAATTTTAACTCACCTGTCACGACGCTTCAGAGCTACTTCCTGGTCCTTTAACAGGTGAGTGAGTGAGTGAATGAGTATGGTTTTTTACGCCGCTTTTAGCAATATTCCAGCAATATCACGGCGGGGGACACCAGAAATGGGCTTCACACATTGTACGCATGTCGGGAATCGAAGCCGGGTCTTCGGCTCGACGAGCGAACGCTTTAACCTCTAGGCTACCCGACCGCCCCCTTTAACAGGTGAATGCTGTATATATACTAGCATTATGTTTACACGACACAAGTTGGGATGAATGTACAAAGATAACAATATAATGACGAAGCAAATGAGATTAACAGGAGAGGATTCAATAAAGTACACTGAAGGTGCAGTGATGACAAGAAGCTAGCTATTGTGATATAAGTAATTAGGAAATAAAGATCATGCTGTTATCCTTGTACATCAATCATATCTCATTGGCTTTCGTCATTATAATGTTATATTTGTACATTCATCACCCTTGTGTTTTGTAAACATATCGTAAATAAACTCTATGCACTAACTCGGCATTCGACCCGTGAAGATCCAGGGTAGAATAGGTCTTCAGCAACCCATGCTTGCCGTAAAAGGTGACTATGCTTGTCGTAAAAGGCGACTAACGTGGTCAGGCTCACTGACTTGGTTGGTGCATGTCATCGATCCCAATTGCGTGGATCGATGCTCATGATATTAATCACTGGATTGTCTGGTCCAGACTCGATTATTTACAGACCACCGTCATATAGCTGGAATATTGCTGAGTGCGGCGTTAAACAACAAACCAGCCAACCAACTACTCGGCATTCACCTGATGAAGGAGCAGGGAGTAGTTCCGAAAGGTCGTGACAAAGAATAAAAGAAGTTGCTATGCATAAAAAGACTCATGTATTCATGTTTCTCCAACTTCTAAATGCATTTCAAAGACTGTAATTTTTGTTTGGTTTTCAAAATGAGAATTTTATAAGTTTTTGAGTTAAATCTATCAATCGACAAAACATGTACAAACATCTTTTGTATATTATCGTGGCGTTGATGTTGAAAAGAGTGGAACAAACGATTAATTTTACGAGCGCTTCATTGTGTCACGTAATGTTCAGCTGACGATGTGGCGGGTTTTGGTGGGTTTGTTTTTTGTGTGAAGATGAAAAATCAGTATTAAATCCAGACTATATGTAGACACAGTAATTCTTTGGGTATACAGCATCTACGTAGGGGTGTATCAACAACAACTGATGATGTTCTGTGTAAACATTGTAACGAAATTGAAGATGAAATTCATGTGGCCTTAATTGCAAAGAAACCCGTCTGTCTGTAATCAGTGCCCTGTGAAATTGAAACATTTATCTTTATTTAATTCTAGTATACCCTACATGACTAAGCAAACGTCTAAACAGATCCGGACCCCTACACTTCATTTTATATAGGCAATTAAGTTGTAGTGCCTCCTTCAGATTGGTTAGCGTCTGTGGGTTCTATAATATATACACTCTCAGCAAGCAACTTCTTTCTCTATATATAGGCTTAAATTTCGTTAAAATGTCCAAATCTCACTTAGGGCGATTTCCATCAAGTTAGGGAAAAAGTCACGGGTTATCCAAGCGCCCTCCTGTGGCAGATTGAAAAGTCGGTGTGTGTCATATGTGAGCATATTAGAAAATGGAAAGTACAGACAGCCATTAGGCCAACCATCAACTAAGTTTTTTTATAATACTGATTTTGTTAAAATAAGGAAATTCCAATCCCTAAAACATTCAATAAAAATCATAAAAGTGACATTTTTCGATTGAAAATGCCATGCATGACACTAGATCTATCGTATGTCTAAATTATAAAAAAAAAAATGTTTAAACAGATGACAAAATATCAAAGATAAGAACGTATGCTTGATGTTGGTTTCGGTACAAGGTCTCTGGTTTTCTCTGCTTGCAAGCGCTGCTCTCTTTCTTTGTTGTGACAACATTCATTCGAAGCCTCGCTCGCCTAACTAAGACATTTCGGAAAACACCCATTGTGAAACTCGGTGACGGAAATGCCCGAACAAATCTGAATGTGATAGCATTCCCTCGCAACAAAATGGCGGACGGCGAAGGTGGCCCGGGTCGAAAATTACCTCCAATTTCACCTCGTCCGAAAAATACCGACACCGATGCTGCAGTTAAACCTGTCAGAAAAAAGAAAAAGAAGCCGGCTGCAGATCCCGACGTTGGGTCGGGCACGGAAGATGCTAAACCGACCCCAAGGCGAAGGAGAAGGACGCCAAGTGCGAGTAGAGACACGGATGGAGAAGAGAAACCAGTCGAGGAGGCGACAACACCAGCTCCAAAAAAGAAAAAGAAGAAGGCAAAACCGAAAGAACCTGCTACTGTGACTGATGAACAGCCGGTGTCTGACAGGAGTGCCACGAGAGATGAGGTATTTAGGCTTTTTTAAATGAGAATAGACACAGCTGAAATTTACTAGTTCAGTTTTCGTTCACTGTTACCAGCTTCTTACTTTAGATTTGCAATAGAAACAAGACACTACTGTAATCAACAATGTCATTTCAGTCATGATGGAAAGTTATGTTGACACACTTCGGTATGTTTATGTTACGGAATCCTTGTCACTTTCCAGGGAAAATCGTAACACCGTATTTTGTCATGTAAGATATAGATGTGTATCAAGTGTATACTATACAAGACTGTCAAGAGATTCTGTAGAGGGTATAGTCTGTCTATATTATCGCAGGTTTTGCCTGTATTATCGCTGTATCAGAAAATCTCTGAATACAGACCACCTGTCGACTGTTGACTTGTGCAAATCTAAGCTTGATATTTCATCAATTGATCAAATACAGGACTCACTGCGGTATGGCACAGTTACTCCTTAGTAAACAAGTTAGCATGGTATGCCATATTATCGTAGTAGTTAATTTATAATGGGTTTTAATGGCGAATGCTTAACTATGTCATACGCAAAATGTTTCTTGTTATGTTTTCAACTTTTATGACACATCAATTATGATTGATCGATGCTAATTTTCTTTATCGAGTTTGGTGAATAAGTACCTGTCATTGGCGACTCAAGGGCGGGCAACTCTATATTATCACAATATCAATATTTTGTGTAATACATTTGGATTATGTGGTTTACATCACTTCCTGTTTGGGATTATGCATAATCAATATTCATAGGACCTAGGTTGGGTCAAAGGACATCATCCAAACAAGTGAATTCTTTTGTAACTAATTTTGAAAGGAGGTAGGGGTAATTCCACTACATTCCAGAAACTATCATAAAAAGTTAACGTGTGTACTTACGAGTAGGCATGACATAATGCAACAAGTGATGTATTCAATCATGCCATGAAATATTGTGCTTAGCTTTGCATAAGTTAACACTTGACAGGGGATGTAGATTACAAGATTTACGATACTACGATAATACAGAGTCTGTGATAATATAGAGTCATTCTATAACTTAATGACTTAATTTGTGAAACTGTGTTGTCAGATACACCGTCGAAACAATGCCCTGTGACGTCAGGGGTCAGCGAATGTGCATGAGCTCCTCTCTGTGATCATGGTGATCGATCATCTTTACACACGTGTCTTTGAATAAGCCCAGAGATGTTGCGAGTTTTCAATATTTGTTTGCTAAATATAGCCTGCGGCGGCATGTTATTTGGCAGACACCAGTTTATGAAAGCATTTTTATTTTCAATATATATTTTATTTCTGTTTTAACTTAACTCATGTGGATGAATGGATTGTGAACTAATATGCATATTTTTTTTGTTGCTTAGGTGGTTTTCATTGTTATGCACAGGAATGCAGTTTATTTGGTATTTGTTTATTGACGTTGCACACATCTAAACGTTGCCGGTCCAAACACTGTCTACTGTGGGGCTTCTTATGCCATAAATCACTAGATTTGTATGGACAAGGATGGATACAAGGCTTTATGAGCTGTGAAGGGGTCATAGGGGGTTGTACCCCCTTCTAATGCATTTTCAAACATTGGCATAAGTGGAGCCCAAGACACAAAGAATGGAAATAATGGCAATTGTCATGGTATTCTTGTTATTCAACCTAAGCCACTTTCATTCACAACATTTCGTCAGTGGTGATTCAAAAACCCGTGCCTTCCCAGTTCCTTATTACGGGCCTCAAAGTTTAGATCTTTACCAAGTAGCCATATGGCTACAAGTATTGTTTTCCAGGTAGCCAATCTCATTAAAATCAGACTTTGGTTCTCGCTACCGCTAAACAAAGATCTGGAGACATCCCATTAGGGGTCACGTCAGAACGACTTTTCATCCGACCAATCAGAGCGTCGTTTACCAGATTATGAAAGTGACAGTCAGAATGTGATTTCTAATCATGCAATTTCGAAAACTTTAACACAGGGTATTCCAAAAGATAGTTAAGGTCTTAACGACTGAATCCATACAATCTAGACCATCTAGTAGCCATTCCAGAATGTTCTTTTGTTTAGGTTTCTAATTTGTAATCGAGAATTTGTCAAAATATGTTTCGAAGCGTAGTTGCCAATTTGAAATTAGTCCCGTAAAGAACGAGAAAGCTGCCTTCTGATTCGTCATTCCATTGGTCGGTCAAAGTTCGTGCAAGGTCGATCTGACGTGACCCTTAATGGGATGTCCTGAGATCTTTGTTTAGCGGTAGCGAGAACTAAGATCTGATTTTAATGAGATTGCCAGGTAGCCAATGGTAAAATCAAGAAGTCAAGGCAATATTGTAGGTAGCCAAAAGCATTTGAAATTACCTTTTATCAAATAACTATTATAATATATATACAAGTCATAGCACTAGTCTTGGAATTGTCTATTAGTGGAAACTGTACCTGAGTTTTGTTATTTGTGACTCGAACAATGGTGCAATTTATGTTACTAGATTACATAGGTATATCCTTGCTTATCCAATAAATTATCAACAAAAATAAAATACTAATAACATTAATGTTTATGTATTTCGGTTCATTGTTGACTTTAGGAGGAATTTATTGTGACAAGTTGCGTCTTCATATGTGTAGCAATAGAATTTAGTCGCCACAAGATATTTTTCAAGGTAGTCATTTGGCTACCTCTGAATTTTAGACAGTAGACAAACTGAAATTTAGGTCGCATTGGCATTTAGTCGCAACTTTGAGGCCTATATTATGTTCCTTGATATCCTTACAGTGTTCCCTCCCACACTTTTCTGGGTCAAAATCACGCAGCATATTATTAAAACCCTGTCATTCATGCATATTCGTGAATTCAACATCTGACGCCTGGAGAAGTTCGCACCATATCGGCTCATCTCTCACCACTTAGTATCTTGTAGGATACGGAATTGGACAAGTGTGCCAAATGGCATCAGGATCACCCATGAGTGTCTGTAGACTAAAGTCACGAGACACTATGTATACCTCTAGCCTGTAACGGGGCGGTCGGGTAGCCTAGTGGTTAAAGCGTTCACTCGTCACGCAGAAGGCCGGAGTTCAATTCCCGACATGGGTACAATGTGTGAAGCCCATTTCTGGTGTCCCCCGCCGTGATATTGCTGGAATATTGCTAAAAGCGGCGTAAAACCATACTCACTCACTCACTCACTCTAGCCTGTAACCACAAGTCTGTCACCTATTTGACAGTGATCGTCCTCACAAGAAGTCGTACTGTATTCACGTGCACCCTGGAAGAGATGTAAAACACTTATTCCACATATATCATACCACAAACTAGTGATACTGCGATAATATAGAGTTGGCCGCCCTTGAGTTGCTAATGGCAGAATCCTTGTTTTCTGATCTCGCTGAAGAAAATCAGGATCAATCAATCCTATTTGACGTGTCATAAAAGCTTAACAAATAAAAAGAATCATTTTGAGTATGACATATTTTATAGGTTAGTAAGCGTATGTCATTATGGTCCATTATAAATTAACTACCGTGATAATATAGCGCACCATGCTACATTCAACATGTTTAGTGGCCAATGTCAGTAACATCAGACCATTGAGCATGAGACCATTTACTCCGATATAATACCTTACGACTTTAGGAACTGATGACATCTCCAAAGAAGGTTGAGTTGCTAACATTACAACAAATGAGAACACCCTGCTTTACCTCGAACAGGTCCTGGTACAATAATAAATTTGAAGGCACCTGCAAATAATCACATCAAGGACTGAGGTATACAAGGCCGCTAGTCTGTTAGTTCAAGATGAGTGAAAAATGATATGGACTGGTTCTCCTCAACTCTAGATATTTTAAAAAAGAAACACATGCTTGAAATGTATAGTATATCTTGCATGTCAAACATATCACAAATCATTGTTCTCATCAACTGTACTTTACATTTAATTGAGATATCAGTCACTCACCAGAGCATGGAGATAAACTTGACATATTCTTATCTGGTGAATCAGGTCACCCTCTGCCTCATTCAAAGTTCAAGTATTGATCCATTTTTTAATTGCACTTACGAAGTTTATTATTGCAATTAACAGAGAATATGTGCCTGAAAGTTTTCCAGCATTTATTTTGCAATCATATTGAAAAGACAACATGGGTTACCTCCCTTTGCCTTGTGGTTACAATGTGATTTCAGTGATAATAACACCTTCAAATTTGAATGCATCAATGACATTTCAAGGCAAATGTGCCAGTGAAGAGTTGTGTTCCTTCAACAGTTTAAGGAAAATTTAACATCCTGTTCCCATGTCACTATAACCTACATGCGCCCTCTATCTTCTATCTATCTTCAAATTCAGTGTTGAGTCATGCATATTTATGGCCCAAACTGCCCTTCAAGCAAAAAAAAAATATGCATGAATTTCAAGTGTCTCACCTAAATTATTGGCTTTGAACTACAATTATGATACACCATATAAAAAATATGTTACATAGAAAGTTCATTTGTTATAGAATCTACAAACGCCCTCTACTCTGAAGGCAGCATTTTAACATGCTTTTGCATTCAAGTACAGCATTCAGTCCAGACCTGTTTAGATATTCACCATTTTGGGTAACTTTGCCTCTAATAATTACAGAATACTAGAATGAAATACAGTCAAATATTTCATTTTCACAAGACACTTATTAGTGTTAAAAAGGTCCAGACCTAAGCTGAACAGAGACAAGGATGGTCTAGTCGTGATGGTCCCTATTTCGTTGTGCGGAAACTTGTCACTGTGGGTCCAGATTATGTTTCTAGCAACATACCTGTGTTGACTTGGTCTTGGTAGAATAGGTCTTCAGCAACCATGCTTGTCGTGAGCGGCAAGTAACAGGATCGGGTTGTCAGGCTCGCTGACTTGATTGATGCATGTCATTGTGTCCCAGTTACGTGGATCGATGTTCATGATGTCAATCACTGGGTTGTCTGGTCCAGACTTGATTATTTACAGACCGCAATCATAGCTGGAATATGTGTGGCGTTAAACAACAAACAAACAAACAAACTTGACACAAGTACCCAACCAAAGGCATGATAGATCAAGTCTAATTACTTTCAACATGTTAAACTGAATCTTCTCCCCAGGATGTCACAGGTAGTAAAGCAAGTCTCATCACAAAGGAGAGCAAGGAAGGAACTCCAAGGAAGAAGGCCAAGAAGAAGAAGGTGGTGAAGAAGAAGACGGAGGACAATGAGTACGCTGACAGCGGGCTTGCAGCTGATCTCACAAGTATTGAGGAAGACATTATTAAAGATTATGACCAGAAAGAAGACATCGAGTTGCCACAGACTACCAATGTCGGAGTCCTACGGAGTCAGCCAACACAGAAAATATATGTGGAAACGATAGGTAAGACTTACTTTATTGAACTCATGTCTGGGTTCACTGCACTGTGGGGATTTTGGGTTAGAATACATCCCCAGTAACCAATGCTTGTAAGAGGTGACTAAATGGATCAGATTGTCAGGCTTGGTGACTACTGATTGTCACTCCCAGCTTAGGTCCATGGAAATTGGTCAGGGAGACTTGTTTGATCCATGTTTCTGTTAATTTGGTATGAACACACCAACTTTGAGGGGCACGGTTGGCCCAGTCGTCTAAGGCGCCGCGATTCGCTGTGCAGAGTTGCGTCCCTTGGGCACACCAGAAACCTATGATTTTGGGTTCAAATCCTGGTTCGACCTGATTATGTTTCTAGGTTTGTCAGCACCATACCCATGCTGGTGGGTTTCACCGAAGTGGTAAACGACTGAAACCTGCATCACTTCGGGCTTTCCTCCCACATTAAGCTGACACGCCCTGTTATACCTGGAATACTGTTAAAAGGGGCATTAAACACAACTCACTCACTCACTCACTCACTCACTCACTCACTCACTCACAAACTCACAAACTATGAATTTGGTATGTTTAGAATGTAAGGGTGAAACGATATACCAAAGATCTGAAGCACCACAATTTGTGGCCTTTATATGATGCACGAAAACCATTATCTAGTTTCATGACGATACAAATACTTACTTTTAACTTTCTTTACTATATATGGATAAATGTGAGATGAAGGCCTCCAGATTCCAACAGATCTGCTGTATGGGATTATTTTGGCTTCCTTGTTGCGTATTGAAATGCATATCGTGACCCGTTTATCAAGATAATTATATGTATCGTATTGTTGCACTCTGTTAAACTGTTACCTCAAATTTCTGCTTCTGACACAAATCCCATGGAATCGGGGAATGTTAGGACATTTGATTTTATGGATGCTTCCATTATCGGTGTAGGTGGTTTCAAGAAAGAAAACAAAACAAAAATGGCCAAAAGACTCGCAGCTGAAGAAGCTGAGAAGAAGGTTGAATCTGAATCCCCACGCAAGACAACAATAGAGCTAGCCCTTACCACGTACCGTATCATGAAGACAATCACACTCTTCATACACGGCCTGACTGCCGGGCTGGCACTGTGGCAGATTGTCATTGTGTATATACTCAGTTCATTCGGCAGCACCGACTTCCTGGAACACTACCAGACCCTGGCGCTTCCCGTCCAGTGCTGTGCCTACCTCCTGCTGGCCCTGTGTGTCGTGTCTACCTGTGACAGGTGGGAAATGATTGGTTATCTCACAGGCAAAATAACTACCGTATTCGATGTAATAAGCGCCAACAGCGATATTTGCTGATATATTGGCTTGTGAACAATCCCAATTAGCACCCTTCCGATTGATCCATGTACACAAGACTTATTTATTCGTGTATAATACGCACTCGTGTGTTATATGCACCCTTAATTACGGGCAATTAAATTCTTGAAAAATATATCTGTTGTGTATAATACGCACAGACTTTTCTTTTGTATCATTTCTGGCTGTCAGCATAAGCCACGAAATTTACGATCTTTCAACCCTTTCACCAAAATAATATTCTAATTAGAGACCCCTATTTCTAATTTTGAAAGCATCCTGGGCGCTTATTATGTCGAATACGGTATCTGAAGCAGGGTTGATGTCATCTCTATGTTTCAGGCAGAGCTATACAGAACTTTTTGAGCAATTGAGTTTTTACTCTAGGGTTTCTATTTTAATTGGGTTATTACAGTTTTCATTGGTTAACCAATATTTTTTCACTCATTTATTCATCACTCTTTTGGGTTTTTCCCAAAATTAGTGAACATTTTAAGATTAAAAAAAAGTGAAATAATGTTTTAGAGGTATATAACTGTTCTAAACTTATAGGCTGGACTCGGAAAGTAAATCAGCTCGTAATTGTGTAAAAGCTCGTAAATTAGCTCCTTTGTACGCTCGCTTATAAAGCTTCATTGGGTATTTACGTGTGCTGTTTTTATACATTTGAGTTTTTCATCTAATGCATGCGTTTCTGTACGCAAGTTAAATGAAAGTAATTGGGTTTTGAATATTTTGGGGGGGGTAAAATTGTGTCCCAAACAGTAACAAACCTGAAATGTCTGCCAAATGTTGTTGGTTATCTCCCCTTAATTGTGTACTCTTCTAGATTTGACATCGGCCATATCACACGGAGGTTTCTGCTGCAAGCATTCACCCTCCAGAACGGTGCTGTCTCCATCATCTTCTACCTCACTGCTGCAATCCTCAGCGTCAGCATCGTCTCCACGGAGGACAGGATGCACCTCTACAACAAGAACCCCGAACTCTGGGCTGATGCTGATGTGAGTAGATTGGTGTCATAGAGTGTGAAGTTGAGGATATTTAATGGTGGTTGACAAGTACGCTGTTTATCATATAAAGTGGTATGGTTAGAATAGATCTTGTCAGAAATCTATAAAACTGATACATGGCAGGTGTTAGGGCACAGAAATACTTGTATCAAATTCAGAACAGCTGTGTCATTTTGACATGCAGTTATAGGCAAGCATTGGTCATTTCCCTCCACTTGCCTGTATGTTAACATCAGATATGAACAGTGTGTATTTGACATGGACCGAAGCGACAGGGATCGATTTTGCTATATCCAAGCTGCACCTGTGCAGGTAAAACATTGCAAGTGCAGGTAACCTTTACTGCCAGGTTGCACCCAGTGCAGGTAACATTTCCCTCCAACACGTGTGCACAGCAGCAGTTATATTTCATAAAAGTGGAAAACTGAATTGTTTTAGAACTGGTTGCAAATCTTTTAGAATCCAGGAAACAAAACTTCATGAAAATAGTGAAATAAACAGGTCTGAATGCAGCGAACGTGCAGAACTAATTCTTCACAATTACCACTAGAACAGTCACTCGTGAGGTTACAATCACATCAAACACATATCAAGATGTGAAAAGCCATATCCAGATTTTCTAAAAATAAAATCCTGGAGCACCTTATCAAATTTGTTTTCTCTTTGAATTTATTTATTATTCAAAATATTTCAATACATGATAAGATGGTACAACCAATATTTTTGTGGGGCAGCCTGATTATTTCACTTGGATCACCTGGTGCAGGTGGTAAAACAGAATGAAATCGTACCCTGAACAAGTTCCCTCCCAATGTAGACCGCCTCTGTGGTCTAGTGGTAGAGCGTCCGCCCAGAGAGCGGAAGGTCCGGGGTTCGATCCCTGCCCGCGTCATACCAAAAGACGTTTAAAGATGGTACTTGTTGTTACCCTGTCTGGCGCTCGGCATTAAGGGACTAAAACAAGGACTGGACGGCTCGGAGTCAGTATACTGTGTCTGAGTGGGGTATTCATGTTAAACTGCGGCATGGTATCTCAGTGAGCTAGCACTATAAATCGGCATCAGTCCGGTCTAGTACAAGCAGCCACACAAACACACACACACGTACATGCACGTCGCTATATAAGTGCAATAATCTTGGACGCGACGTTAAACCCCATTTCACCTCACCTCACCTTCCCAATGTGATATCCTCATTGATCTAACAGAGTGTGGGGAGGTGTAACTGTGAGAAGCTACGTTACATGTGCCAATTGCAATACCTGCATAAGACGTGTAACACACAGGCTATTTGATTGGCTGTTATCATTTTGAACTTTGTTACTATTAGTAACCGTGATTATATCGTGTAAAGCGCTCTACCACAGGCATGTCAGATAATGTCCAATGACTGGCTGAATATAGATGTTTAATATGGCTCAGCAAAAAGACATTGATTACACCAGGTCTCATAATGATATTAACAGGGGTCGATATAACTGCTGGCCCGTTGGCCGATGCCTAGTTAAATATCAAAGGGCTTGCTGAAACGTAAACTAGATGACCCGTCTGGCTAGTCTAAATTCACCCCTTCTCTGTGTATGTTTAATATTTTTTTATTGGATCATCTCAGTGAATGACACCGGAAGCCATTTTGTATTTCGTGTACAACTTCTTTATTTGCTCCTAAATTGCCATGAAATGAGGCAAATGGAAGCCAAATTTTAGCCTCAGAGTGCAGGAAAAAAACATTTTAGGGGTGAGAAGTTCTAGCTTTGAACCTCAGATTCAGACACTTCGCGGCCTCTACCATTTTGTTGTAGACCACTTAGTTTGGAGATGGGCCAGTAACTTTTAATAGGAGCAAGCTCTGCTGACTACATACAAATTTCCTTTATGTAAGTGGAAAGTGACTCAGGACACTGAAGGAGCAAAACCTCAAGAAATGTCCGGTGTCTTGGCTCAGGGCTGGGTGTGAATGTCTGGTGTCTTGACTCAGGGTTGGGTGTGAATGTCTGGTGCATGACTCAGGGCTGGGTGTGAATGTCTGGTGTCTTTGACACAGGGCTGGGTAGGAATGTCTGGTGTCTTTGACTCAGGGCTGGGTAGGAATGTCTGGTGTCTTGACTCAGGGTTGAGTGTGAATGTCTGGTGTCTTGACTTAGGGTTGGGTGTGAATGTCTGGTGTCTTGACTCAGGGCTGGGTGTGAATGTCTGGTGTCTTGACTCAGGGTTGGGTGTGAATGTCTGGTGTCTTGACTCAGGGTTGGGTGTTAATGTCTGGTGTCTTGACTCAGGGTTGGGTGTGAATGTCTGGTGTCTTGACTCAGGGCTGGGTAGGAATGTCTGGTGTCTTTGACTCAGGGCTGGGTAGGAATGTCTGGTGTCTTGACTCAGGGTTGGGTAGGAATGTCTGGTGTCTTGATTCAGGGTTGGGTGTGAATGTCTGGTGTCTTGACTCAGGGCTGGGTGTGAATGTCTGGTGTCTTGACTCAGGGTTGGGTGTGAATGTCTGGTGTTTTGACTCAGGGTTGGGTGTTAATGTCTGGTGTCTTGACTCAGGGTTGGGTGTGAATGTCTGGTGTCTTGACTCAGGGCTGGGTAGGAATGTCTGGTGTCTTTGACTCAGGGCTGGGTAGGAATGTCTGGTGTCTTGACTCAGGGTTGGGTAGGAATGTCTGGTGTCTTGATTCAGGGTTGGGTGTGAATGTCTGGCGTTGTGGCTAAGAGTTGAGTTTGATGGCATAGTTTGTCAGTTGTTTTTCAACATCAAACCAAATCAGATATATTAAAATGGGAGATCTGATTTTACACAAAAATGTTAAAACTGATCCAAGGCAGAACTTTTTCAAAACTAAAATAGGAAATACTAAAATATATACCAGGGGGTAATGACTAATTAACTGTCAATCAAACCATCTGCCATCTTACCCTAGAAATTCGCATCTGTCAGACTTTGGAGAGTTTTTTTCCAAGTGATGTTTTTTCAGGTCATCTTTGCAGGACAATAAATCTGTTTTTAGTAATATATTTTCTGTGACATTGCTGCACAGAGCCTATCAAGTACTCATCTTTACAAAAATGTATTCAATTTGTAATTTTATGTGAAATATTACCTAAAATGTTTTAAATCTGTATCAAGAACCACTGATACATGCAATAACGAACGAAGTGAGGTCATTGATGATGTGGTTAACATCACCATGTCAAGAAATGTGATATGTCCTGTGTATACACTGTACAGGAGCATGCAGATATATAATAGCCTACATGTGGATGACTTATTCTCCCTGCTCTGTTAGGGCCAAGGTTATCTCTGCCCTGGTGATTGGATTTATGTCAAACATTTACGGAAGCCTTTTAGGGCCATTTGGATTTTTTTACTTGAAATTTCAAGATACTAAGTAGAAATTTCAAGATGCATACTAAGTTAAAATTTACAGATAATAAGATGAAATTTTTAGATTATAACTTGAAATTTCAACTTATTAACTTGAAATTTCAACTGATTATCTTGAAATTGAAACTTCAAGATGCTATGTTGAAATTTCAAGATCCTTATTGAAATTTCAAGATTCTTTGTTGAAATTGTAAGATTTTAACTTGAAATTTCAAATTGTTTGAAAGGCATTACTAAGAAGTTGAAGGATGACAAGGCAGACACAATTTATGGATAACAACTTCTTTGATTACTGTAAAGGCAACATTTTGTATAGATCCTTATACCGTTTTCAAACAAGGACAACGGTATAAGGATCTATACCGAAGCGTCGCCTTTATAGTAAATAAAGAAGTTGTTATCCACAAATTGTGTCTACTTTGAAATTTCAAAATATGTATCTTAAAATTTCAACATAGCAGCTTGAAATGTCAACTTTCTATCTTGAAATTTCAATAAAAAAAGATAAAAGAAGTGGCCCTAAAAGGCTTCCGTAAACATTAACTGGGCACCAGGTGTTTTTGTTCAATGAGTGTAATCAGGTGATGCTGGCACCATCCAATAGGGATGATGGTTAAGACCAAACACAAGCATCAGTTACAGTGGAACAAGGCAGTAACGGATCAGGAAAGCCCTTGTATGACTTTTATTGTGATTAATCAGTCAGGTAAAGGGATAAAGAATTAAATCATTGCTATTTGGGACCTTCTTGTCTATCTGTAAACACCTAAATCTGCCTAATTGAAACTATTTTACCACATGCCTTCCATCTTGAGTTGACGTGAACCGTTTAATGTGTCTTATTGTGAAGCTGTTAACCAAATATTTATGAGCGATCCCATTACTGAAGTATCAAATCCTGGTGAAAGAGATTCTAAATGGTCGACTAATTCCTCATCGTGTTATTTGTAGTGTGTGTCAATTAAAAAGGTCAATTACAGCCAATGGGATCAAAAGAGGTGATTTATCTTGAAAGTTCTAAATCTGTGTGTCTGATGGAAACAATGTAGTTACGATCGGCTGAATTTCATTGGCCGTAATAAACATGCAAATTTCAATAGTAAAATAATCTATTTTCACTCTCTTAAAAACATTTTAGGACGAAGTAAATGAGCATCAATCACAATGATTAAACAGTGGATGAAGCTACGGAAGCCTTTTAGGGCCATTTGTTTTTTTAGTATTTTTCAATACTATCTTGAAATTTCAAGATCCTAAATTGAAATTTGAAGATACTAAGTTGAAATTTCAAGATAGTATCTTGAAATTTCAACTTCTGTATCTTGAAATTTCAACTTCAACTTCAAGACAGTATCTAAAAACTAAGTTGAAATTTCAACTAAGTATCTTGAAATTTCAAGATAGTATCGAAAAAAACACATGGCCCTAAAACTAAAAGGCTTCCGTATGAAGCTATAGGGTTGTTGGTTTTCTCAACAAGAAATGCAATGGTTTAAAAAACAACTACTTTTGAATCCAGTTCCAGTTTGAATCCTTTATTTTAATCTAGCAACCGAACGGTTATTTACATGTTAGGAATGGTTACGTGAGAAAGGCATTGGTTGGGTTATTGATTGGGGGTAATAAGCTTGATTACTGGTGATAAAGATTTGTTTGATGGAGGCTATGTGCACCTGTCAATCACCCAGCGGGAGGTGCTGATTCATGAGGTACCAGCAACATGGTATGATGTAGCTGAGTGAAAAGAGGGATGGAGAAAGGGATGAGTATTTGGAGGGAGGCTCTCGAATGTACTGTAAGCCATATCATTATAGGTCAGCTACTTCACCTTTGAACAGGCCTTTCTTTGGATATTGTTCTTGAAAATGTAACATATGTGTAGAAGCTGAGTTGTTTTTTAAACAAGAACTGGAATGGCCAAGAAACAAATACTCCAATCCATAAATTTTGAATCTAGATTTGTACCAAGACATACTGTATATCGGGCAAAATGGGTACCTCAGACAAGAGTAATGTCCCTTTGTTCATAGTTGGTGAAATGGCTGACTGTCCTTGGCTCAAGGCATTCCTGTCATGATAAGCCTTGATGCCTCCCCGTGAATATCTGGGGTAGAATAGGTCTTCAGCAGGGTTAGAAATTAACAGTTTTTGTCCACAAGTCCTTATGATGATAACATATAGCAAAACCCTTAAAATTGGCCAATTTCTACTAGTCCCTTGGATACCTTTACTTTTGAGCAGTTTGGTAAGGACTACAGGACTAGTGCCAATTTCTAACTCTGTTCAGCAACCCATACTTGCCTTAAAAGGCGACTATGCTTGTCGTAAGAGGCGACTAACGGGATTGGGTGGTCAGGCTCGCTGATTTGGTTGATGCATATCATGATTTCTATCACTGGATTGTCAGGTCCACACTTAATTCTTTACTGACCGCTGTCATATAGCTGGAATATTGCTGAACGCGGCGTTAAACAACAAACAAACGAAACAAAACCAAACCAAAGCCTTGATGCCTCTGAATGTTGTTTCTGTTCCAGAAGACGGAGTCGGAGCTGTCAGAATGGAGAAGGATTAACACGGCCCGAGGGGTGTTTGCAATCTTGGGTTGGCTGGTGCTCTCAATATCCCCCAATGCTGACCGGCTCAGCAAGAATCTCAGGGACGGGGATGATGACGAACTACTGGGGAACGAGCAGGCAGAGACAGGGGTGTCCGCAGCCTAGGGGACGAAGAAGAACTGAAGAACCGTTGGGGAGGGGACAGGCACAGGGAGAGTCATGTGGCCTAGACTTTGTTAGGGTGGGGGAGGGAATTATAGGAGGCTTCAGGAGAGGGCAGAGCAGATCTACATTGTCTTATGACAGGTATGCAACTTTACCTGAAACATTTACTTGCCCCAATAGTGATACCATAAAGGATTGTGCCAACCCCGCTTTCTTGGCATCCAGTATAAGAACTCTTGGGTCATATCAGTGTACACAGCTGGTACAAGTAAATTCTCCTGGGATTTCACATAAAATGCATGTTCATAAGCTTCTTGCTTAATATTTTATAGATCTGTGAATCTTTGAAAGAAACAAAGATGGAAAATAATTTTCAACACTGAAATATTTCAGGCATCAAACGTACTACAGCATCCAGAATACCACTTAACAGGGCACAGCATCCGGCCTTCCAAAAGAGGGTTGGCATCCTCGTATAAGGCCTGAATTCTACTAGCTTTTGGTATAGCTTTATCATTACACAAAATTACCAGGGTTAGCAGGCCAGAGACAAGTTGTGTCCCAGCTGATGACCAGCTTGTGGCAGTGTTTGAAATAATTTAAAACTAAACAAGACAGTTGGGCAGGTGACCCATAAATATTGCCAGCCATCTTCAAAGTTACCTGATATTATAATTATTGAAAAATCGTGAAAAAAAAGAAACAAATCGCGCCTTGATTATAATTACTTGAGAATGTAAGAGGAGTTAAAATATAACTGAATACATAGGTAGTCCTAATATTATGTGCCAGATAGTCGAGCAGGTGAAGGAAAATTTCATGCAGCCCGACAAGAAGTTAACAGCCACGGGCAGTTGGTCAGGCAGTTATTTCGGGACATTGGCTTGTGGTATCTTAACAGTCTAAATTGTGTGGGGAAGAAATTGCTTGAAATCTTTCTTTATGCAGGCAGAGATCATGGGGATGTGGCAGCTCACTGAGCAAGTGGCTTCTCATGTGTCCTGGTACTATAATTATATTTCAGGAATTGGTTTGCACAGGAATCATGAATCAGGGTTTCTCATGTAACTGTTGGGTGACATCCTGTTCATCGGGAAGCCCTTTTCAGACTATTGGTCATGTTGGTATTTGGTACACAGAGTTCCCTCTCTTAGCCATACCAGGATCCATGTTAATGATTCAAATCTCCAGCTCATGGAAATCTCATTTCTGAATGGTGGTTAAAGTAAAATGAGTTGATTTGCGGAAACATCACGTAGTGATTTCCACTAGTCTTGTGAGTAACTTTGGCAGACTTCTTCCATTTAGCAAGGAGGAAATATGTCATATTATTTGTTTGAAAATGTGTGTTTGTTTAGTATCCATTAGAACAGCAGTGAGTTGAAAGAATGCTGTGAAGTCTGGTTTGACAAAATACCCTTTTTGATAGTTGATTTGTGATGTTCAAATATTTTTGGATTTACTTTTTGGGTCATGTAATTATTCACTTTTGCTCATATTAAATCCATTACACGAGGTGAGGTGAAATTGGGTTTAACGTCGCGTCCAAGATTATTGCACTTATATAGCGACGTGTGTGGCTGCTTGTACTAGACCGGACTGATGCCAATTTATAGTGCTAGCCCGCTGAGATACCATGCCGCAGTTTAACATGAATACCCCGAGCCGACCAGTCCTTGCTTTAGCCCCTTAATGCCGAGCGCAAGACAGGGTAACAACAAGTACAACCTTTTAACGTCTATTGGTATGACACGGCCGGGGATCGAAACCCAGACCTTCCGCTCTCCGGGCGGACGCTCTACCAGTAGACCATGGAGGCGGTCTACTCTGACATGAAGAGACAGAGTCCTATTTACTTAGATTATATCAAGAAATAAATCAATGTTCAAAACAAGTGCAATTTGATCACAACTCACTGAATAATTGTGTAAGTATCATCATGATCATAAATAGTTTACTAAAGAAATGTGTCATTTTTGTCAAATTCCTAAATATTTTTGTCAATATCAATTAAGGGTGGGTTGCCTTGTGGTTACAGGACATTGGACATGGATGCAATATGTTCAGCCTATTTCTGGTGTTCCACACCATGGTGTTGCCAGAATAAAACATCATTCACTCACTCACTGAAATATATTATGAGTATGGTTTTAAGCCGCTTTTAGCAATATTCCAGCAATATCACGGCAAAATCACGGCGGGGGACACCAGAAATGGGCTTCATACATTGTATCCGTGTGGGGAATCGAAGTCTATCAGCATGACAAGACGCTATAAGGACTAGGCTACCCCACTGCCCCTACTAAATTCAATGACTGATAGGACCAATGTCACAGTGACCTGACATTGCGAGACACTACTGCTGGGATGGATGATGACCCAACCCTGCTCTGTGCCTGCATGTCATGACTTATTGTGTGCTCACACTATCGACCACTGGCTGGTCAGGTGCAGTCAGGATTACTTAGAGGCCTTTCTGAGAAGTGTCACTCATTTTAAACGAGGGGAGTCTGGGTTAGACGTGGTCCCAAGCAGCCTATGCTTGGCATAAGAGACAACTTAATTGATGGGGTTGTCAGACTTGTAACATAAGTCGGCACTTGGAGGGTGTGCTCTTCATGGAGGTTTAAGTCTAGAGCTATCGTATGCATTGTATACACCTGCAAATGTTAAATGTTAGTAAATGGGCTATCTGATGCATTATTAACAAGCTCGATTGTATGGTAACATGAAGTTTATAATGCAATCACATTTCATGAATATTGCAATTATTTGTCTGCCCCAGTTCATGTCACAGATCGTATATCAGTTCTGATGTGGTGTAATTTCATGAAATTTCTGTACACGTTTTTTTTCTAACTCCACCAGACATGTTTATAGTTATTTATAATCCATTGTAGGAAGATGGTATTTATGTACATATAGATGTAACTTGATTGATTGACAGTTTTGTGTGAGAATATGTTTCTCATGATTACTCCAGCCATGTATGTACATTAGAGAGGAAAATCAACATTATTACATATAAAATGTATAGATATCTATCATTTCCGTCCATTCATTCACTTAAAACGTTATGCGACTGTACTTGTGAGTTTCCGGTAATACATGTGATAATTCGCGGATGTGGTTACTGTATCACTTAGGGAGCAGTTCACTAGTTCAATGTATGATAAGAAGTTTAAGTTCCCAGAGAAAGTCTGCTTGCATCAAAGAAGTAAAAAGAAAAAGAAACAAGCAAGTTTGAAAATGTTGACATCCTCAAAGATGTTCAGTCTTTTGTCACAAGAATCTTACCGTTTTGTTTTTTTGTTTGTTTGTTTGCTGTTTAAAGCCGCACTCAGCAATAATCGAGCTATATGACGGCGGTCTGTAAATAATCGAGTCTGGACCAGACAATCCAGTGATTGACATCATGAGCATCGATCTACACGATTTGGATCTTACCGTTTTGAAAGCATTTGGTGAAGCAGAGCTTTCAAATATGACATGTTTACTGTGTTTGTACAAGCGACATAGCTTCCGTTCAATGTCAGGGATGAAATAATGACGATTGGAGCAGTTTATTAGTGACTTGAACTGAACAATTGTAGACCTGTGATCTGAGGGTATTCACATTTTTATCCGACATCTAACTTCTGAACTGCCCCCTTAGGCGATGTCATTAGTGCAAATGGTAACTCATCCTTGGCATCTGTGAAATCGACATTATCACGTTCTGCGCATGCACATGGATATGGTTGATGTCTGGTGAACACCTGTTCTGTAATTTACAACGTTACAATATATGCTCTTGATGCAAAGACTAAACATAATTCAATAACACTGTAAATGAGTTTCTATGTACCATATGTATATTTCATGTTTATTTTATAATAAATCTATATATATTTGTTAAGAATGTCATGTACATATTTCGTCAACAATGACGACCTTGCTGATAATTATGAATGACAGTTTATCACAGAAAAAAAGCGTTTAGACGCTAAGTTCAAGGATCGTGGTTGAGTGAGTGAGTTGGGTTTAACACTGCTTTTAACAGTATTCCAGTCATGTCAGCTTAATGTGGGAGGAAAGCCCGATGTGATGCAGGTCTCAGACGTTTAGCACTTCGGTGAAACCCACGAGCACGGGTATGGTGCTGACAAACCTAGAACATAATCGGGGCGAACCGGGATTCGAACCCACAATCATAGGTTTCTGGCGTGCCCAAAGGGACGCAACTCTGCACGGCGAATCGCGGCGTCTTAGACGACTGGGCCACCCGTGCCCCCCGATCGTTGTTGAAATAATGTTACAACTACATTGGAACACACACAAAGAAGTTATGATGTACGGTATACGAGTGATATATTATGTTTGTACCCAGGAGAAGTAACACCAACCTAATGTCCTGCTTGTAGTTTGTCATAAAATCACAGGAATGTCAAAAACTAAAAATGCATTTCCAAACGTTTTGACCCGAAAAGGTTTAATCATGACCTGCCCCGTGTATATTTTATATAAATGTTTTTTTAAAACCTCACCCAAATTGCAAAGACAAGTATATAAGTCAGAGGGTAAATAAAGAGCGAGTTTTGTTTTACTCCGCTTTTAGCAATATTCCAGCAATATCACAGCGGGGGACACCACAAATTGGGTAAATCAAGAAGGAATATTACTTTGGATGGTTGCTAGTTAACAGAAACTTCAGTACCCCTAACCTCAGGATTATCACAAATTTTTATATCTTTGAAGAAATATACGTCAGTGCTTAGTCTTTTCTTTCTCTTGGTTATCCGGGTCCTCCGCCGACTTGGTCGTGTTGTCGACTGGTGTCATTTCGAGCTCCTGGGGCTGTGTCGAGGGGTACTCGGTCTGATGACGTCTCACTCTCACAGCCAGCACCAGGAACGTGAGTGCAGCTGCACTGAAGACACCAGCTGCCATGTAGAACACTATGTTGTACGACTTGGTCCTGTCGTAGATATACCCTGAAACAGAAGAAGTGAGTCTGGGTTCCACAAAGCGATCGTAGCGCTACGACTGTCGTTAGTGTCTGTTACAGTATGAGAGTTACGATCACCTTAGCGTAGGTCAGTGCGGAAACGTAACACCAAATTCCCTCACAACCTACGTATGTACGCTGATACGGGACGAAAAAGGGATCGGATGGCCAGGGCCCCGTCCCGAAAAGCGATTGTTGCGACAGGACTGTCGTAACTCTATGTTAAAGTATGCGAGTTACGATCCCTTTGTAGAACATGGCCCTGGTTCGGTGACTTGGTTCAATGCGTGTCATCGCAGCGAGACGGCGAGCACATCATCGTCCAAAGATCATCGTAAGTCAAAGTGTGAGTTACGACAACTTTAGCGCTACAATCGCTTTGAAAAATTGTGCCCTGATCGCCATTACAGCTCAGTCCTTGCTTGTTGTTAGCGTACGAGACCGCCTCCGTGGTCTAGTGGTAGAGCGTCCGCCCGGAGAGCGAAAGGTCCGGGGTTCGATCCCGGCCGCGTCATACCAAAAGACGTTAAAAGATGGTACTTGTTGTTACCCTGTCTGGCGCTCGGCATTAAGGAGCTAAAACAAGGACTGGTCGGCTCGGAGTCAGTATACTGTGTCCGAGTGGGGTATTCATGTTAAACTGCGGCATGGTATCTCAGTGGGCTAGCACTATAAATCGGCATCAGTCCGGACTAGTACAAGCAGCCACACACACACACACACACACACGTGCATGCACGTCGATATATAAGTGCAATAATCTTACGCGACGTTAAACCCAATTTCACCTCACCTGTTTGTGTACGAGACGAGTGAATGCGTGTTGGGAATCTGGTTCAATGGCTGATTGCATGTCATACCCTTGCGGCGTGGGACGTTACTCATTATATCAATCACATGACTATCTGGTCCAGGCTAGATTGTTTACAGATCGTTGTAATATCGCAAGAATATTGCGGGGTGCGGTGTTAAACAACAACTAAACAAACTGTCATAAGATACGATTCTGCTGGCGCTCAGATTATAATGTCATAGGCGACTAATGGGATCGGGTGGTCAGGCTCGGTGACCTTGTTGGTGCATGTGATCGTATCCCAATTGCAGGGATCGATACTCATGATCATATATCACTGGATTGTCTGGTCCAGACGCGATTATTTACAGATCGCCATCATATAGCTGGAATAATGTGTGTGGCGTTAAAGAACAAACCAACGCACAAACGATGCTCAGGCTCGCTGACGTTGTTAATTGTGTGTCACCGTGCCCCTATGGCGTTTCACGTTACTCATTATATCAACCACTAGATCCGGGGTAGAATAGGTCTTCAGCAACCCATGCTTGCCGTACAAGGCAACTTTGCTTGTCGTAAAAGGCGACTAACGGGATCGGGTAGTCAGGCTCGCTGACTTTGTTGATGCATCTCATGGATCCCAATTGCGTGGATCGATGCTCATGATATCAGTCACTGGAATGTCTGGTCCAGACTCGATTATTTACAGACCGCCGTCATATAGCTGGAATATTGCTGATAGCGGCGTTAAGCCTCAAACACCGCCTGCAATTTCACTGGTTATATAGATACCTCATTAAATCGAACTCGCTTAACTTGACATATCGTTTAAAACGATGTACCCTCCGGCTGAAGCAGAATCTACCCGCCCTATGTTCTCATAACGAGGGGCGATCGGGTAGCCTAGTGGTTAAAGCGTTCGCTCGTCACGCTGAAGACCCGGGTTCGATTCCCGACATGGGTACAATGTGTGAAGCCCATTTCTGGTGTCCTCCGTCGTGATATTGCTGGAATATTGCTAAAAGCGGCGTAAAACCATACTCACTCACTCTGATAACGACACTGCGCCCGAACTAACGATAACTCGGTGTTTTCGACAGCCCCAAGGACATCGAGTTTTTACTGATCAAACAAAATATTAATCGGTTGAAATAGTTCATCCAACATGAAATACCTCGACGTATCTGAAGGATTAAATATGTACATATGTCAAAAGGCATGCAGCGGATAATTATTCAAAGTACTGATATTTTTAAAGATAAACGAAAAATTGTAATTTATTATAATACGAAATGCGACATCCTGTGCACTATAACTGACTAACTGACGATAAATTATATTTTAACGCAATCAGTACCATCAATCTCACGTACCAGCAAACCAATATACGTGTGGCGTGATGGCGTATAGGTACAAGGTGCGGTCCCTTATGTCAGCAGAAATATACTCAAACACAAAACTGTGATCATGTAGATTTATGATAGTAATGCTGAGCAGACTTGGCAAGGAGCCAGTGCTGTAAAGAGTCCGGCCTTAGCAAAGTGAGTATGGTTACGCCGCCGAAATTCTCACGGCAAGTAAAGCACGAGGAGCTGGAGAAATATGAATGAAGTGGGATTCGAACCCAAGACCACAGGGTTCTGGCATGCCTGACGAACGTAATTCTGTACAGCGAATGATGGCACCGATGATTCCCAGCCGTGATCCCTCGTGAAAACCATGCATGTTTTTCTGTTTTATCCGTAATTTCACGACTTTCAGCTTAAGTAGAACACGTTTAGTATCCTCTAACACACAAATACGTCCACTTTGTACGCATAGATCTGTCAGTTTAACCTACCCTCCCGAAAACGATAGCCTCAGTACGTCAAGTCATTTGCTGCAACTTGACAAGAATGACTCCTAATGACTTAATGGGGACTTAATGGCACTCGGTTCGTAGGAGATTAGCCAACGATACTATCATCAAATCCTCATTATAAGATTTTGTAGTTTGAATGTCAAAACAGGTATGTTTTTATTCGCAATCGATTTTGACTGCAGAATTTTAGACATCCACAGACACCATTACCTTATATAGTTATTGTGAATGAAGTTTGTTTGTTTGTTGCTTAACACCGAACTAAGCAGTATTCCAGCTATATGACCGCGGTCTGTAAATAATCCTGTGATTGACATCATGAGCATCAGATTCGGTTAATTGGTTCCTAAAGGTTTGGTTGGTGTTTAACTAACAATTCAGTTAGTTGATTCCCGGTCAAAGGTTTGGTTGGTGTTTAACTAACAATTCAGTTAGTTGATTCCCGGTCAAAGGTTTGGTTGGTGTTTAACTAACAATTCAGTTAGTTGATTCCCGGTCAAAGGTTTGGTTGGTGTTTAACTAACAATTCAGTTAGTTGATTCCCGGTCAAAGGTTTGGTTGGTGTTTAACTAACAATTCAGTTAGATGATTCCCGGTCAAAGGTTTGGTTGGTGTTTAACTAACAATTCAGGTAGATGAATCCCGGTCAAAGGTTTGGTTGATGTTTAACTAACAATTCAGTTAGTTGATTCCCGGTCAAAGGTTTGGTTGGTGTTTAACTAACAATTCAGGTAGATGATTCCCGGTCAAAGGTTTGGTTGATGTTTAACTAACGATTCAGTTAGATGATTCCCGGTCAAAGGTTTGGTTGGTGTTTAACTAACAATTCAGTTAGTAGATTCCCGGTCAAAGGTTTGGTTGATGTTTAACTAACAATTCAGTTAGTTGATTCCCGGTCAAAGGTTTGGTTGGTGTTTAACTTACAATTCAGTTAGTTGATTCCCGGTCAAAGGTTTGGTTGGTGTTTAACTAATAATTCATTTAGTTGATTTCCGGTCAAAGGTTTGGTTGGTGTTTAACTAACAATTCAGTTAGTTGATTCCCGGTCAAAGGTTTGGTTGGTGTTTAACTAACAATTCAGTTAGTTGATTCCCGGTCAAAGGTTTGGTTGGTGTTTAACTAACAATTCAGTTAGTTGATTCCCGGTCAAAGGTTTGGTTGATGTTTAACTAACAATTCAGTTAGTTGATTCCCGGTCAAAGGTTTGGTTGATGTTTAACTAACAATTCAGTTAGAAGATTCCCGGTCAAAGGTTTGGTTGGTGTTTAACTAACAATTCAGGTAGATGAATCCCGGTCAAAGGTTTGGTTGATGTTTAACTAACAATTCAGTTAGTTGATTCCCGGTCAAAGGTTTGGTTGGTGTTTAACTAACAATTCAGGTAGATGATTCCCGGTCAAAGGTTTGGTTGATGTTTAACTAACGATTCAGTTAGATGATTCCCGGTCAAAGGTTTGGTTGGTGTTTAACTAACAATTCAGTTAGTAGATTCCCGGTCAAAGGTTTGGTTGATGTTTAACTAACAATTCAGTTAGATGATTCCCGGTCAAAGGTTTGGTTGATGTTTAACTAACGATTCAGTTAGATGATTCCCGGTCAAAGGTTTGGTTGGTGTTTAACTAACAATTCAGTTAGTAGATTCCCGGTCAAAGGTTTGGTTGATGTTTAACTAACAATTCAGTTAGTTGATTCCCGGTCAAAGGTTTGGTTGGTGTTTAACTTACAATTCAGTTAGTTGATTCCCGGTCAAAGGTTTGGTTGGTGTTTAACTAATAATTCATTTAGTTGATTTCCGGTCAAAGGTTTGGTTGGTGTTTAACTAACAATTCAGTTAGTTGATTCCCGGTCAAAGGTTTGGTTGGTGTTTAACTAACAATTCAGTTAGTTGATTCCCGGTCAAAGGTTTGGTTGATGTTTAACTAACAATTCAGTTAGTTGATTCCCGGTCAAAGGTTTGGTTGATGTTTAACTAACAATTCAGTTAGATGATTCCCGGTCAAAGGTTTGGTTGGTGTTTAACTAACAATTCAGTTAGTTGATTCCCGGTCAAAGGTTTGGTTGATGTTTAACTAACAATTCAGTTAGTTGATTCCCGGTCAAAGGTTTGGTTGGTGTTTAACTAACAATTCAGTTAGATGATTCCCGGTCAAAGGTTTGGTTGGTGTTTAACTAACGATTCAGTTAGTTGATTCCCGGTCAAAGGTTTGGTTGGTGTTTAACTAACAATTCAGTTAGTTGATTCCCGGTCAAAGGTTTGGTTGGTGTTTAACTAACAATTCAGTTAGTTGATTCCCGGTCAAAGTGGTGTTAGTTCCCATAGCCACTAACTCAATGCCTCCCGCAGTTACCTTCCTACAGATGCCTGAATTGGCACCAGCGTTGAGCAAAGAGTGAGTGAGTGAGTATGGTTTTACGCCGCTTTTAGCAATATTCCAGCAATAACACGGCGGGGGACACCAGAAATGGGCTTCACACAATGTACCCATGTCGGGAATCGAACCCGGGTCTTCGGCGTGACGAGCGAACGCTTTAACCACTAGGCTACCCGACCGCCCCGTTGAGCAAAGAGCTCATTAAAGACCATCATATATAATTCAGTGATTTACATCATGAGCATCGGCTAGCCCATTCGTCTAAGGTACCGCTTTTTTCCTTGCACACCAGAAACCTAGGTTTGTGAGTTCGAATCCCGGTTCGCTCCGATTACGTTACTAGGTTTGTCAGCACCATTCCCGTGCTCGTAGGTTTCACCAAAGTGGCAGCCGTCTGAGACCTGCATCATTTCGGGCTTTCCTCCCACATTAAGCTGATGGGGCGGTCGGGTAGCCTAGTGGTAAAAGCGTTCGCTCGTCACGCCGAAGACCCGGGTTCGATTCCCGACATGGGTACAATGTGTGAAGCCCATTTCTGGTGTCCCCCGCCGTGTTATTGCTGGAATATTGCTAAAAGCGGCGTAAAACCATACTCACTCACTCATATTAAGCTGACACGGCGTGATATAACTGAAATATTGTCCAAAGCGGCGTTAAACCCAACGCGCCCACTCAGTATATACGAGCCGTATCATCCACGTAATACACACGATACATAAACACCCGATCCTCACGTGTCGGTTCGTAGGTCAATCATCTTAGGACAAGCATAACCAACCACATGACGTTTCTGAGGTGTACACTCTTGAAGGTCTGTGTCAGGATAAGCCTTCAGCAACCCATGCCAACAGGATGGGCCGGTCCGGCTCGCTTACTTGGATGATGCATGTCATCGTATCCCAATTGCATAGAACTATTCTCATGATGTCAATCACTGGACTGCCTGGTCCAGACTACATTTTTTACGTCATAATGCTGGGAAGTTGATGAGTGCGGCGTTAAACAATACATACCCAAATAGAGAGAGGTATACGGAGTTCGCTTGTCAATTTGGTCTCACCTGCGAGAGGTATACCCAGGATTTGTCCAAGACCATTTACAAAAAACGTGGCGGCCCAGATGTAGTTCTTGACGGTCCCTGAAGGAGCTAATAACGACGTTGCCGAAAACAGCAGCGTCATGGTGATACCGTCAGTAGCTCCGTGAACTGAAAATATGTAAATTTCTTCTTGCACATAGTACATATTCTGTCTCCATGTTTTGTGGCCTTGTCTGTTTCGCAAAACAGACCCTGCAAAACATTTGTTTGCGATGTACTTTCAGATATACAGTGAATCAGATGGATCTGTGTTGTTGTTGTTGTTGTTGTTGTTGTTGTTGTTGTTGTTAAACGCCGCACTCAGCATTCCAGCTATATGACGGCGGTTTGTAAATAATCGAGTCTGGACCAGACAATCCAGTGATTAAAACCATGGGCATCGATCTACCCAATGACATGTATCAACCAAGTCAGCGAGCCTGACCACCCGATCCCGTTAGTCGCCTCTTACGACAAGCATAGTCGCCTTCTACGGCAAGCATGGATTGCTGAAGATCTATACTACCCCGGATCTTCACGGGTCAGATGGATCTGTGACCTAATACGGGTGACACTACGGAATGAGATTAAATATTATCCTAGCTGAAATATGGAGGAACAATTTTGTGTCATTATTTTCTTTTTAAATACGAGACAAATATGCCATGTAAATGCAGCAGGTAACCAAGGTTGCACCAAGGCGCGGCTGAATGGATGGTAACGGGGGACAAGACATGCTCAGAACTTGTGACAATGCAGGATAAGTGGCAGCTGAAGACTCTGACAAGGTTGAAACATGATGATGATTCCAACCAAACTGGTAATACCACACCGCTGAGAGCTTTCTCTGAAGCATTCTAAAGTGGACAGCTTTGGTCATTCTTTAGCGTTTCTCACAATCTTCATAAATGCATTTCATTTAGTTTGGAGTCATTGTTTACTGTGAATACGATTTGCTTCATTGCGGATTTTTGTTTGAGACAAATATTTTTTCAGTCGTTTGAAAGGAAAAGCCAAACGATTTGGGGGACCGACATCACACTTTTTTGAGAACATCAAGTATAGATGTGGACAGAGGCTATATGCTCAGACTGCACCTGGTGAAAACACTTAGATTTCATTAAATCAAAATTTGGTTTCGCAAATATGTGTGACTTTAAACTCACAGTGCTATCTTGCTATCGCGGGACCTATCATGTACTACGGCATAACCATTGGTCTATGACAATTGAGCTCCATACAGTAAAATGTTCAGATCACTGTAGATACTGGCCAGTCAACATCTTGGACTGTATCATACTTTGCTGTGCCATACACACACACCTCCCCATCTTTTCGAGACAAGGGAGCTAACTGACTCTAAAAGTCCAGTTTAAAGCCCCTGCCGAACAAGCCTGGAAGTTTTTGGTTCGATCGTAGCGCCACCAGTGGCTATTTCGAGTTATGTCCCTGTTATGTCCCTCCTATTGACCAATCAGATTCCATGTCTCATATCACTTGCATTTGCTTCAAACAAAATGGCGGTGCTCAGTGAGGACCATAGGATCAATAATCAAGATTTATATTGAAACAAAACGCGAGCAACTTGATAAAAAACATGAAAACATTTGCAAAATATCTGTTGACGCAAAGTTGACGGTACACTAGCTTTGTAAATCATGGAATCGGCCCAAATCTGTACGGCCGTTTACGTCAGTCCAGCCAAAATGTAACTCCATAATACCAGCCTAGTTCGGCAAGGGTGGAAAAGGGACTTCTATAGTCAGTTAAATCCCCTGCCTCAGGAAGATGCCAGCTCCCCCAATCCATTTTATGGTACATTTGTTATGGTCCCTCAAATACAAGTGACATTTTTTCATGACCTCTCCTCCCTATAATAAATAGCCAGTGCCTATATAATGTTCAAATTGAAAACTTGATGATTCGGTAAAATATTGATAAAAGTTGTACTGTGTCACTTTAACTGCATTTATCCTGCCATTTATCGAACCAATCACAAAATATATCCTTTTCAAGTATCAGGTAGCAGTCTCGTCGTTGAAATGTCAGTAAGGTAATGTAGCTTATATTTAGCATGGAAACGAATACATTGAAATGAAATGAGTATTTTGCTACACATTTGCCATTAGCTACTGTTGGGTATAACCCCCAAAATGAACAACTGCCGTCATATAGCTGGAATATTACTGAGTTCGACGTTAAACAACAAACAAAACAAAAAATAAAATCAACACGTATACAAATACGAAAATAAGATGAGAACATGGAATTTACGATAAAAGGGGTGTAATCTTTATCTTCGGGAGGGGGGGGGGGGGGGGGGGGGGGGGGGCGGTCGGGTAGCCTAGTGGTTAAAGCGTTCGCTCGTCACGCCGAAGACCCGGGTTCGATTCCCGACATGGGCACAATGTGTGAAGCCCATTTCTGGTGTCCCCCGCCGTGATATTGCTGAAATATTGCTAAAAGCGGCGTAAAACCATACTCACTCACTCACTCACTTATCTTCGGGGATTGTAAATATAATATTCAGGTCACAACCCATTATTTGATTTTTTTGCTATTATGTTCAGAGGTAATTTGTCTGAGGCGCTGTAATTCACTGTGTAGAGTTGCGTCCCTTTGGCACACCAGGAACCTGTGATCGTTGGTTGGAATCCCGATTTATCCTGATTATGTTTCCAGGTTTGTCAGAACCATACCGTGCTCGTGGGTTTCACAAAAGTGGTAAACGTCTAAGACCTGCATCAATTTAAGCTTTCCTCCCACATTAAGCTTACACGTGATATAACTGAAATATAGTTCAAAACGGGGATAAACTCAACCCACTCACTCGCTTATTGGTAACTGGGATGGAATATCATGATTCAAGTATAATGGCAATTTGGCCATACACCATTGGTTCCATTCATCCATTTGGTTCCAGTACACGGGAGAACGCATGCAGCATTTAAAGCGACGATAAAGTCGGCACACTCGGATCCGACTTCCAATCCTTAGGACAGACAATTCTAGTGAGTGAGTTGGGTTTAACGCCGCTTTTAACAGTATTCCAGTATCCGGCGTGTCAGCTTAATGTGTGAGGAAAGCCCGAAGTGATGCAGGTCTCAGACGTTTACCACTTCGGTGAAACCAACGAGCACGGGTATGGTGCTGACAAACCTAGAAACATAATTGGGGCGAACCGGGATTCGAACAATCATAGGATTCTGGCGTGCCCAAGGGACGCAACTCTGCACAGCGAATCGCGGCGCCTTAGACGACTGGGCCCCCCGTGCCTCCTACAGACAATTCTAAACCTGGCGAATTTGGAACGGTGTTGTTAATGACACAGAGAAAGCCATGGAAATTCACAAAGGGAGAATTAATATTGCACTGTCTTTGTCAATTAATCGCGTGTGTGACTTGTGTTGGGGTGATCTCTAGGATTTGGAACACTACTACTACTACTTCTACTTATATTGAGTGAGTGAGTGAGTGAGTGAGTGAGTGAGTGAGTGAGTGAGTGAGTGAGTGAGTGAGTGAGTGAGTGAGTTGGGTTTAACGCCCCTTTTAACAGTATTCCAGTATCCGACGTGTCAGCTAAATGTGGGAGGAAAGCCCGAAGTGATGCAGGTCTCAGACGTTTACCACTTCGGTGAAACCAACGAGCACGGGTATGGTGCTGACAAACCTAGAAACATAATGGGGACGAACCGGGATTCGAACCCACAATCATAGGTTTCTGGCGTGACCAAGGGACGCAACTCTGCAGAGCGAATCGCGGCGCTTTAGACGACTGGGATACATAGATCATTTTTAGGTAGCACAGCAACAAAAGCCTTGTTACTTACCAGCACAGTACACAGCGATAAGACCCTGGTTTCTGACGAGAGTGAGAAGTCCAACACAGACCGCAATCACCGAACAACTCAACACGTACACAAATAACAGGTAGCGACCTACAAAGTCACCTGTAATCAGAGAAACATATATTTGAATGTTAAATATTTCATAATAATAACTTTTATAACGTCAACGCCAGAGGTTAATAATAAAGTATGAAATAGTGATAAAAATTATGTGAATGGGTCACTGAAAATCGGTGATGACACCAGGTTTTCGTGAAAGGCGTAAGGACATCGAGCCATGCCAGTAACACCCAATATCACAATTGTCATTAAAAGAGTAAGATAGAGAGTATGGAGGTGTTTTAACGGCGAATATACAAGCCTTACGCAATTAGGATAGGCTATTCTACAATCAGTTTTAACATGCGGTAGATAAACCTGTCATGTCAAGAACACGTATGTATGGCAAGTCCCGAACAACTCCGATGGAAGGTGAGCTCGTGCAGCACGTGCACATCATGTATTGCCTGTACGTTTGTCATTTGTTTGCTTGAAATATACATTTCTTAATCCTTTTTATTACTTGTATCACGGAATGCTTTTCTTTTAAAATCACGGTGATTGAAATATAAACAACACATGTTTAAAAAGATGTTTCAAGTTATCTTTTAATAAAGACGATCGGTCTGCTGCAAAAAATAAAGAGGAGTAATTTTTATGACAAGTCAGAGGTTACCTTTTGACCTACTTCGAAGACGTTTTCAAAACTAAAATTGCTTGACAAACAGGTTAAAAAATAGTGTTCTCAAAAATGTAATTATATTCCAGCATATCGGAAAATCAGTAATTAAAATCTGTCGCGTGATGACTGTGTTTGAAAATAGTTGCTAATATTTTCAAATGCAATTTGTATGCATGTTTGTTGTTTGACGCCGCACTCGGCCACATGGCGGCGGTCTGTAAATAATGAAGTTTGGACCAGACAATCCAGTGATTGACATCATGAACATCGGTCTACGGAACTGGGATACGACGATATGCATCAACCAAGTCAGCGAGCCTGACCAGCCGACTCCTTGAGTCGCCTCTTACTACAAGCATTGGTTGCTGAAGAATCTTCACGGGAATGTATCATATAGCTGCTATAACAGTTAGAATGAAATATAAGATTACCCGTCGTCCTTGTTGATAACAAGGAAACATCTGTCCACTAAATGCAGTCGGACGTGTGTCAAGCTTAATATCAAGAATCCTTCGACACAATATTTAACTACAGTAATTACAGCTAATCGATTGAGAAGGACGTGCGTTTATTAACCTGAGAAAGCCGTGGCGAAACTCAATACGGCTTCCGCCATCCCCTCGTAACTCATACACATGGCCGCTACGCCTAGATCCATGTTGATAGATTCCATGTATTGCATCTGAAAGAGACAATGAGGGTTGTTCATTTGACGGGGCGAATAGAATCCACGTGCTCCTAGGGTGTGTTAGTAAATTAGTTATTTGGGGCTTCGTAGGGAATACTTTCAGGCACATTCCTGCGATATACGTTTAGAAAATGCATGTCATGGTATCCGAGTTGCGTGGATCGATGCTCATGTTAATCACTGAATTGTCTGGTCCAGACTCAATTATTTTCAGACCGCCGTCATTCAGCAGGAATATTGGTCAGTGCGGCTTTAAACAACAAACAAACAAATATACTATTCACAAAAAACGATATTTCTTTGTACAATGCCTGTTTCTGAAACTATGGGAAAAACATAACTGAGGATTAGCTCAAATAACTGAACTATGATCAGTTTACATTCTCTTACCTACTCGGTCTCCAAAAAGCGATTTTTTTTCTGTATGTTATATTTAAGAAATAAACGACGAGTGGGAGTATTTCTTATATGCGATGTCAACATTATTCAGAGCCTCGTGAATACTTCACAAACTCGGGAATTATTGACAGATCAAAAACACACGATATATTGAACGCCCTCAGTATCGTGTTACCATAGTTAAAGACTACGGGGTTGGATGTGAATGTGAAAATGGCTATCACGTCCATCTCTTCATGAGCCAGAAGGTTTTAGGTTAAAAGGATTGATTTACCTAGCGCCCTGCCGATGGAGGGAGTATGTGAAATATGACTCTATATATAGTGATGTGCTCATTTACTTTCAGACGCTTGTGAAAGGTTATGAGACAGATATGGTAAGAGGGACTATAGAAACTGACTTTCAGTGTAAGCGAAAGAATAAATAAGTAGTTACGACGTATCTAAGAGACACGTGTTCTAGATACGGTGGTATTGCAAGGCGGTTGTTTAATCTGTTACCTATTACCGATATGATTGATTTTTTACATAATATCAGTGTTTGATTATATCTTTCATTTTTATTGATTCCATTAATTAGTTATGACATCACGAAATGAATAAATATCAGTAAATACTTGATTTTATCCTGAAATAAATTAACGATATATTTTAAAATAAGGATTGATATCTTGAAATGAACTAATGATATCAGTGATTATCATGAAGTGGATAGTTTTGGATCGATCGATTGACCAATCCGGATGCAACTGAGACCACCTGGCAGAAACTATGTTTAAGCCCCATTTATCGATGCAAAGCCTCTTGCCCAATAAACATGTGTCTAACGTTCCCAATACGGTTGTTGTTGTTGTTGTTGTTGTTGTTTGTTGGTTGGTCATTTTGCTGTTGGTTTTTTGTTGGGGTTTTTTTGGGTTTTTTTTGGTTTTTTTTTTTTTGGGGGGGGGGGTCAGAATGTGTGGGTATATTCATACGCATTTCCCAAAGTTATTTGTTTTAGCGACCTTTTACATATTAAACATCGATTATTTTACATAAAAAACAGCATTATATGATAATTACCCTCGTGTGTTTCCGTATCACAAATATCATAAGGGGATATTGTGAATAGAAAATATATGTGTGTCATGCTCGCCGAAGGATCGGATAATAAATTTGGCATTCCTAATATATGGCATTTATGATACGAAAACACACGCAAGCCTCGCATTCTCCAAATTTTAGTTCTAAAATACAATAGTTATGACATAGAATAGAAACACGCCCAGCTTCTAATCTCTATTTATTACCCAACTATAAATGAATAATGATATCGTTAAATTAGTTGATTATATCAGTAAATGAATAATTGATATCAGTTAATGAAGTATTGATATCAATTACTGATATATAAAAAAACGGATAAATTAGTTAAATCAGTATTTCAAATTCTGATTTAATCAAATTTATTCACATCACCAAATATGGTTTATCAGTAATATTACAACAATTAATGATTTGAATTACTGATGTCATTACTTGAATTCCTTATATATAACGAATCAATTAAATGTATTGATCATATAGTAGTCCTCGATGAATTAATTGTGACATAAAATTAAATATTGATAATACATTGATGTCTTTAAATTAATTAAACATGACTCTGTTGTTTCAGACATTGTAACTTGATGTGCAGAGTTGCGTCCCTTAGTTGCAACAACATCCACTGGACTTGGGTTCGAATCCCACATTGTTTATACTTGGTTTCTGGCTCAATGATTTGGTTTACGACCTGCTTCACTTTGAACTTTCTCCCACATCAGGTTAACACGTCGTGATATAACTGAAATACTGTTCAAAGTGGTGTTATACGCAACTCATTCAGCCACACAGTCACTCACATTCGTGACCAACTCGTGTTATTCCGGGACAAGCCGAATAGCGACTCGTGCCTCTCTCGTGGCCATTTTTACGACTGGGTTTCGTCTAAGCGCAAACGGGCATAGTTAAAAGAATTGTCAATTCGTTGCATAATGAATACTTTTTCTTTCCCCTGTGTCATATATATGCCAGATGCTATTTAAAACACATCGGGATTTACGGTAGTATACAGTGTGATTGAACACGTTTAACTGTATCTACGGTATAATTTTAGATGCAATACGTGTAAAATCAAAAATTATTCCTGAGGGATTCTTTGACCGAAGAACTTGAAGTCATACGCGCATTCTGATTGGTTTGTCTTCTTTTCGCACATAACATTCATCGATAGGGGAACGAGTCTTCTTGCAGGTTACGGGAAGGGGCGAGTGGTCATTCACCGTTATCCCGAGTACTTACGAAGTGCACTTTAGGTACGTAGATGGCGAAGGACAGGAGGAAGATTCCCATTGTCCAAAGGCAAGTGTCGGTGATCAGGGCCGTTGAACACCCGACAAAGGGATGACCCGTACTTCCGTCTAAATCTTCGTACTGTTGGGGCGTCCTCTCATCTTCGGGTATTTCCGTCTTTTTCCGCATGATGATGTTGCAAAATAGTCCCACAACGAGCATAATTCCCCCGTATATTCTCATGGTATCTCGCCACGTGTCTGGGGCCACCCGATCCAGATGGGCACTGAGGGGGTTCATCAACATGGATCCTGAAATAACCGGGCTGTAAATAATCGAATCTGGACCAGACATTCCAGTGATTGACATCATGAGCATCGGTCTACGCAACTGGGATACGATGACATGCATCAACCAAGTCAGCGAGCCTGACCACCTGATGCCGTTAGTCGCCTTTTACGACAAGCATAGTCGCCTTTTACGGCAAGCATGGGTTGCTGAAGGTCTATTCTACCCCGAAATCTTCACGGGTCTGTGAATAGTATAATTGACACTGTGACAATGTAGTACAAACTAAACCTTTCTACATCAAAATGTACATTTATTGTAACAAATGCAATTGGGACAATGTTTTTAGTAAATGTTTGACATAAACAATTAAACTGTGGGAGTTCCGACTGCCGCAGCCCCATTCCCAATTACTCTTGGCCAACATTGAAAACGATTTTCTTTTTAGCCAATGGTCACAGGCATTATTTTGGTAGTGTCATAATATGAAATAATTTCTTGTTTTATGTATTCAAATCTTTGTATTAGTCCGTTTGTGTTACATCTATAAATAATTCACTCAAACAGTAAAATGATTGCCTTTATAGGGTCATTAGTGTTTTTCCTTTAACGCGCAATGTGATAAATGACTCACCACGTCAAACCGTTACTATGTCTGGCATGGATTCTGCTGCCATTTGGCCGAGTCAGCATCACAGACGTAATTTCTTTCCAAAATGTTACCAGCGAAAGGTTGAAATTGTCTTATCTTCAAATGAACTGAACATCGGATAAGCAGCTCAGCATCAATCTCGTGACAGCCACCCAAGCTATGTGCCAATAGATGACACATCCCCGACTGATTGTAAACTATTTCACTTTAAATTAACATCACGCCAGTCACAACCCTTTGATAGTCAGGCAGTGGCGCCGTGGGTCTCGTCTGCATTGGTAAACGTCGTCGGTAGCGACTATTCAATAATATGTGTACATCTATTTGTTGTGCGAGGGTACTTGCTGCTTGACAAAGTTCCATCAACTAGAACCTGGCCAACTAAACAATTAGAACCACTCTAGGTTTTTTTTTATTCATTTGGCGAAATTGAAACAAGGATGGTATACGTTGAAAAATATAGAAATGGCAAATCGATTAAGGGGAAGTAAATTCCTTGTGTATTTCCACATGGCCTAGAGATCCTTTGATCTCTAAAGAAGAGGCTACTTGACAAATTTTATCACCGACGTCTCCAAGGTCTTCTTGGACAAGTAACACACTCTCGTTGGTGAGGTGAAACGGGGTTTACGTCGCGTCCAAGATTATTGCACTTATATAGCGCCGATTTTATAGTGCTATGAAATACTATGCTGTTTAACAAGAATACCCCACTCAGACACAGTGTACTGACTCCGAGCCGACCAGTCCTTGTTTTAGCCCCTTAATGGCGAACACCAGACAGGGTTACAACAAGTACCATCTTTTAACGTCTTTTGGTATGACGTGACCGGGTATCGACCTTCCGCTCTCTAGACGGACACTCTACTACTAGACCGCAGAGGCGGTCCACTCACGTTGACTGTTATCTCGAAGTAGTGTTTACCTCGAAACTAATCCACAGTTTATCTTAACCCTTATGCTTATTTCAAGCCTTCTGTCTAATAACGTAAATGATGTCGAATTTTCTCTTTTGTCTTTACAATCACAATATGGCCGGATTATTCAAAGCTGTCGCTTGTCATGCCATGAGTCCGGGTTCGATTCCCTACATGGGTACAAAGGGTGAAGTCAATTTCTGGTCTCCCTGCCGTGATATTGCTGGAATATTGCTTAAAACGGCGTAAAAACTCACCTTTAGAATAACATGATTTTGTACATTCAATAGGATCAATCATCATTATATTGTTCAACATGATTCTGCGAAATCATGTTTCACAATATATTTATGTTTGATCGTAGCCTCATATAATAACTTATACAAAAGTCAGTTTCCTATTAATGTGCGTAAAGCCTTTCTGGAGAAGACGGAAATGGTCGAAATCGTTCAAAGTAATGCTTCCTGGGAAAGTCCGTCTCTAACTCGAAGAACTCTTATTGGAAAATGAAAATATACTGATTTCACGCCTGTGAAATGATGAAAATCAAGGCCGTAGTTAACTTTTTTTGACGGGGGGGGGTGGCGGGGGGCAAATATTTGTAGAAGTATCCTTTGTCCCCAACTTGATTAAAATAAAACTGTTTTCTATTAAAAAAAATCTAGGGGGGCAACTGCCCTCCCTGCCCCCCGGCTTGCTACGGCACTGAAAATATGCCGCGCAAAAGAAAGTTTACACTTGAAAATTGAATTTGTGAAAACAATTTCGAACGGTAGTTGGTTGAAAACACTGGCCCCAAAAACTGCAAAATTAAGGTTCAAAACACTACTATGATATTCGTATCAAATAGATCATCATCATCATCATTATCATCATCTTGTTTGTTTCATATCTTGTATACTTTCTTTTGTCCAGCAGTTTATATACATGTACGTGTACTTAAATCGCGTAAAATGGTTTGAAAAGACTATCACCGATGAAAGGAGTTGCTTAAGTTGGTGTAATGTCTGCAGATGCTTTTTACAAACCTACAGGACTCCCAACGTTCATCAGACTTGTTGCCAGAATGTGGTACTTATGTGACGAAGGGAAGTAACTCTCGATGAGGGCGTAAGGCGAGTTCATAACGAGGCTGGATCCGACGCCGAAGACGACGCAGTACGTGATAAACAACCAGCTCAGATCTGTGATGAAAGACGACAGGGTCATGGCGGCAGACGACAAGATGACGCCCACGAAGAAAAGCAGACATGTTGACAGACGCTTCTGTAGAGAGACAATCAGCCAGCAGAAAAGCCGATTAATGCCGAATGACAGGGCGCCGATCCACGCTGGAACAGAGATACAAATAACTGTCATTTGTGACCAACTCGTGTTATTCCGGGACAAGCCGAATAGCGACTCGTGCCCCTCCCGTGACAATTTTTGTGACCGGGTTCCTTCTTAGCACAAACGGGCATACCTAAAACAATTGTCAACTCGTTTTGTAATTTGTAATTGTAAAGCACATCGGGACATGCGGAATTATACAGTATGACTGAACACATTTAACTATGTCTTTGGGATATTTTTAGATGCAAGACATATGTAAAATCAAAAATTATTTCTGAGGGATTCTTTGACGAAGAACTTGAAATCATACGCGCATTCTGATTGGTTTGTCGTATTTTCGCACATAACTTTCATCGATAGGGGGACGAGTCTTCTTGCAGGTTACGGAAAGGGGCGAATCGTGACGAATGAAATAACTGTATTATGCTTTCCGATTGTCACTGGCTCCAAACAGCGAATTTCGGCGCCTGAGACGACTGGGCCACCCTGCCCCCTCGACAATGGGACACGAGATAAAATGTTTTCTAACGTGACAACCAGCAACATGCATACGTGGTCATAACTGTTCGGTGTCAAAGCGTAATAACAACAAGAGCATGATTCACAAATTCTCTAATATCGGTGTCACTCCAAGCTGCTTTCCTAAAATACAACCTACTAAACTGACACAGACACAGATGTTATTTCCCGAATGACCTGGATGTTCTCTTTCGTAAATTCGTGTTGAACATATTTAAAGATCAGATTTGTAAGTGGGTGAGTGCGTTTGGGTTTACGCGGTGGGTTTTGTGTAAATTAAAGGGACGAAACCCTTTCCATAATAAGGATGCAAAGAGATTTAGATTTTTTTAATTTATTTTACAATATGTTAATAAGAATGTTTGATTTAGTGCCTAACAATGAATTTATCTGTCACGTGACTGGCAAAGTCTAATTACGTTAGTTTATGTATGAATGGACGTAAATGGTTTATGTTATCTTCATGTAAAGCACGGTGTTATTATACTTTGGCATCTTGATATATCCACAACAAATTGCGCTAACTTCTCCAGAAAACAATCCACACCTCATGCTTTTTCAACGATTATTAGCATTATTATTTATTTATTTAATTATTTTTTTATTTATTTATTTAAAGAAAAGCTACCAAATCATTACTTTCGATGTATAGATTATCAAAATGAATTTAACACAAACATCCCCCTATTAATCTTTATATTAGTACATGTTTCATTGTAAAGTCCACACTATACATTTCGTGGCGCCTTGACAGAAGACTACATTCGTCCGAATCCCCCGGGCGACACACATTATTGACAAGTTGTTGACAAAAGAAATTTACTTGTTTTGTGTTATATGACGGCGGTCTGTAAATAATCGAGTCTGGACCAGACAAATCAGTGATTGATATCACATGCATCATTCTACGCAATTGGGATACGATGACATGCATCAACCAAGTCAGCGAGTCTGACCACCCGATCCCGTTAGTCGCCTCTTACGACGAGCATAGTCGCCTTTTACGACAAGTATGGGTTGCTGAAGACCTATTTTCCCCGGATCTTCACGGGCGGTTGACAGAAGAAAAAATATCCGTCATTGCCAAGTGGTGTTTAACTAACGATTAGTGGCGGTCGGATAGCCTAGTGGTTAAAGCGTTCGCTCGTCACGCCGAAGACCCGGGTTCCATTGCCCACATGGGTTAAAAGCCCATTTCTGGTGTCCCCCTCTGTGATATTGCTGGGAAATTGCTAACAGCGGTGTGAAGCCATACTCACTCACTCACTTTAACTAACAATTCAGTTAGTTGATTCCCGGTCAAAGTGGTGTTAGTTCTCGAATTCTTCTGTAGTTACCTTCTTACAGATGCCTGAATTGGCACCAGCCTTTAGCAAAGAGCTCATTGAAGACAATCATATATTATTCCTCCTAGTTCAAAAACCATTCGACTTCAAGCACACTCTTATATTTCGAACGAAAATGTGACCGCCTCCGTGGTCATACAAAAATCTTGGACACGACGTTAAACCACATTTCACCCCACCTCACCCCGACCGAAAATGTAAATGCCAACAGCTAGAACCGGAAACTCAAACAAGACTCGATACTCTGGAAAAGGCGAAAATCGCTGAGGCGTGGTCTGGTGGTTGCATGGTATTCCGAGGGACCTACCATTCAATATTCTGATCTGTGAGAGATGGAGCCAAATAGAAAGAACATAGCAGCACACACACACCTCCCGGCCCTCTCCATCACCCCCACCTCACCCCACCCCGCGACCATCACTGAAGTATACCAATTGGTCTGTCGGTTCCTGTCACAGGAGGAATTGGTAAGTTGGTATTGGCGTGTCCTTCACCAGGCCAGATCATATCACCTGGGCAGATAATACAAGTAGAGCATTGCATAGCTGTACCTTACTTTAACTTACAAAAAACGATCCCTATCGTGTAAGTAGATTATTTCATCTTGACACCGTACATATTGTAAGTATTTTGTTTTGGGGGTGTTTTTTTTGTTTGATTGATTGATAGAATTGTTCAAAATGTTACGAATGTCATTTTAAAGTAATTTGTTTTGCTTTCCCCGCCGTTCCTGTGCCGTCCTTGGAGAAACTACAGGCAAAAAAAATCATGTGTCAATATTTTTCATGAGCGAATCTCCTGTTTTGTTTTTCATTATTCAGGCAACGCGACGCATGCACAGACATTAAAAACGACGTCCCCGATTATGGCCACAAGTGAACTTAAAAACAGTTCTCTTTTTATCAAACGTCCAAAAGTACTGACAGAAAAAAGTAACTGTGGTGACGTAAATGAAAATAACAACATAATATTTTGTCATTCGTTTGATCAGTGTTTTATCACAACAATTTCATTGACAAACCTCATACCTTGAGACAGAGCGACACGCCAGAAAAAAAGGGTGGTGTAACAAATCAATTAACGATGTCAATGACATTGTGACAACCATTTTCGTTGATACAGGCGAGGTAGTCACCAGATGATTGAACAGCCTGGGGGAATGGCCCAAGGGAGGTTGCGTTACCGGCTGGTTCTGGTCCTGTCGTAGGCGTTGATCCATCTCAACCAAGACATGTCCTGTGGGAGGTCTGGAGAAACAACCGGCTATGGCAGTACAGCAATGTTATGCTTCTTCAAACAATCTGTTACAACACGTGCAACATGTGGGCGGCATCATCCTGCTGCAACGTGATGTTACTACCCAGCATTTGCAGTAGGGGAGCACATGGTCTCGGACGATGTCGTCCCGATGGCGTACGACATTCAATTTTCCATTAATAATAATGAGTTGTGTTCTTCCATGAGTTGTGATACCATCATACCATTACACTTCCATTACACAGGAGAGAGGAAGGTCCGGGGTTCGATCCCCGGCCGCTTCATACCAAAAGACGTTAAAAGATGGTACTTGTTGTTACCCTGTCTGGCGCTCGGCATTAAGGAGATAAAACAAGGACTGGTCGGCTCGGAGTCAGTATACTGTGTCTGAGTGGGGTATTCATGTTAAACTGTGGCATGGTATCTCAGTGAGCTAGCACTATAAATCGGCATTAGTCCGGACTAGTACAAGCAGCCACACAAACACACACACGTACATGCACGTCGCTATATAAGTGCAATAATCTTGGACGCGACGTTAAACCCCATTTCACCTCACCTCACCTCCATTACACACGTGAGTAACGCAAGGGTCGCTAAAACGTTCTCCTGGACGCCCTTAGACCCTTCCATGACCATCAAAGCTTTCCTGATAAAACCTGGACTCATCTGTGAAGAGTACACTGTCTCTCTCTTGTCTGAACCTGAGATGCTGTCTACGTCAAGCTAGACGCGTTTGACGGTGACGTTGCAGTAAAACCGGGCGTATCGCTTGACGTCAGGGCCGGATGTCGTGCTCTCTCAACCGGTTGCGTACGGTTCTGACACCAGTTGGTCTCAACCCAGGAATTGGGTTTCGATGAACATTAAAATGTCTGGCAACATCGTTTTGCGCCATTCCTGTTCCATTCATGCACACTCACGTCACGACGACGTTGCTTTTCAGCAAGTTGAGGCATTGCGTCAACGTTATTTACAGTTCAACGTAAGTATTTTCATGGGCACTTGATAGCTAAACAATCATTGTCTCCTGTTAACATTTGAAAACCGCGTATCACGACGACGTTGCTTTTCAGCAAGTTGAGGCATTGCGTCAACGTTATTTACAGTTAAACGTAAGTATTTTCATGGGCACTTGATAGCTAAACAATCATTGTCTCCTGTTAACATTTGAAAACCACGTATGTGAGTATCGTGCTCCAAACAAACACGCAAACATCCAAATTATGCGCCGTGCATGAACATGCACGTGCGAGTGAAAATCATGAAATTACAGTTGATGAGACGTCTTCATACATATGTATTGAAAGATGCATTATTTAATTTCAGATTAAGCGTAGTTTTACTGAGCTTTATATGAAGCAAGCAGACAGTCTCATACTATTTCATCCTAATGTGTGCCATGTTTAGAGTATGTCACAAGCAGGCAGTTTACATCCATGGAATTAATCCTTAGAAAATCGTTTCTGGAAAGTTACAACGCAACCTCCGTTAACCAACCTGTGCAAAGACTTCATTGCACAGGGTGGCCCAGTCGTCTAAGGCGCCGCGATTCGCTGTGCAGAGTTGCGTCCCTTGGGCACGCCAGAAACCTATGATTGTTGGTTCGAATCCCGGTACGCCCCGATTATGTTTCCAGGTTTGTCAGCACCATACCCGTGCTCGTGGGTTTCACCGAAGTAGTAAACGTCTAAGACCTGCATCACTTGGGGCTTTCCTCCCACATTAAGCTATAACGCCGTTATATAACTGGAATACTGTTAAAAGCGACGTTAAACCCAACTCACCCACTCACTCATTGCACAGCGTAGCACTACAATTCGTCATGTTCTCGACATGTTCGCGAGGTATCGTGGTATTGTAACGGTTTTGCGCAG